ATCCCAGTACACATAAACAAACAATCTATTATGTAAATAAAATTCTTAACAACTAACAGCTGATAGCTATAGTACACCTAATTGATATTCTTACCAGACCACATATTATTTTTATCTCTAGTAATTTTATGATGACAAATATTTGGGAATCTATTATAGTGGTGTCTTAATTCATACAGGTACAGTGTCGGTATGCCACACTCAGTCACCCGGTGATTTCAGAAGGCCCCCAGATATTTTCCAATATTAGGGAATGAAGGAAACAGCCAAATAGGAAATATATATTTAAATTTTTTATGATTTGTGACTTAGATATTTCAAATTATTTTTGATTTTTGAACTACCAATGAAAAAGTGATTTATTTAACACATTGTGCATACTATTCAAATACGCACTTATACTCAAATGATTATGAACAAGTACTGTCAAAACATAAAATTTTAAAAACCAAATATTGATTTAGCCAACAATAACTGGAGTCTTGTCTAGTCTTTAACTTTTATGCACGTTCTTGTTGAAGAAGATATCATTCAGTTAATAAATAACAATTAAATTATTGATATGTTAGGATCTTCATGCAATTAATTATAAGAATTACTATTGTAATAACAATTTGTGATTTATTTAATTAAGTTTTTTTGCCCTACATTATTTATATTTATCACATTTTGTTCACAATAAGGTATATTATTTTTTTATATAATGTGTACTATATATTTTTTTAATAGTATGTATAACATTGTTGGTTTCAACGTGTTATAACATGTACAATAATAAATTAATATTTAACTTAAAAGTTCGAACTTGTTTAATATTTTAGAAAAGAAAGTGATAAACACATCATTGGATCATTTTTTATATTTGTACACACATAATATTGAAACCAAAAGTTAAGTTTTGTATAGGTGTTATGTTACTTAGGTACTTTGACAATATTAATTATTAAAATAAATACCTATATAAAATCATAATTATAAAATAAAAAATCCCGTAAAAAATTGATATTTTGTATAGGTATACCTACCTAAATATATAAAAATAATCAACCATTTTGTTTTATAATGACATATAACAAAAAATGAAGGCTTGTAATCTTTAGAAAATAAAATAGGCATTCTTCTGTTTGTAAAAAACAGTTGTTTAAAATCTATATTTTTTCAATATACCTATATAAGTTTCAGACCACCTTTTTTAAAAATTGTTACGGTTTCTAAGTTAAAGTAGATGGGTTATAATAATGTGTACGTACTTGATAATTAATTTTTATATTGTATTATATTACCTGTTTAAAAGTGTCTTTATATTTTAATGAGTTATTTAAAAAAATGAAAATGTCATGAAGAAATTCCCAATAGATTTGTTAGTTTCAGTTTTTATATGAGATTTATATAAAATTATTATTAGATCTTAGAATAGATCTTAGATGTGATTTTGGACTGTGGTGTACCTAATGTTTTTATTAATTAAAGTTTTAAAAAGTAATCTTAGTAGTTAACTGTAAATTAGTCACATCACTCTAATTAAAAGAACATTAAATAATTTATGAAATATGTTACCTATGTCATCTTTATAAATAAAGAATTAGTCAAATTTTGAAATACTTGAGAGAATTATGAACATTTATTTTTGTCAACAGAATTATTTTAATTATTTGATGTTGCATGCACTAGTGTTTAGTTGAAGACATCATTATTGATTAATGATTTGATCATTTAATAGATACCTATCTAAAATAGTATAATGTAGATATCTTATAAATGTTTAACAATCTTATGTTTATATCAAGTTATATATTTAACAATGATAATAATATTTAAGTGTTTTAGCCATAGTGTAACTGCAATATATCTTAAATATAATAAAAGGAACTCAATTGAATACATATTACCTCGCATATTACCTAGTATAGTACAATATTTAAAAATATATTAATCACATAGGCATAGTCAATTGTCAAAACTACAGTCTGGCTAATCAAGTCATGACCTAACCTAATACCGAGCCTAATACTGAATGAATAAAATATTGACTTTAGAATTTAAATTTCAAATTAAAAAGATATTTTGTAATTAAAATTTATTTTCATATTTGTGATGGGGCCTGTCATAAAATCACCTAGTTTCACTTATACACTTTACATATTGGTAATTTATTTAATCATTATTATTATTATTATACTCCATAATATTCTTAAAATAATCAAACTTTAAGGGTCAAATGCAATTTTTGAAAATTATTTGCAGGCCGTTTCCATTTTTTTTTTTCATATGTATTTTAATTTGCTCAATCTAGCTGTATAAAATATTTTTATAATAAGAATAGATGCCCAATAGACAGAAGGATACCTACAAAAGAGGGCTTGATTAGTTTGATTAAAAAAACTATTTAATCTACTTCATGCTTATATTTTGAATGAGGATAAAAATAAAAAATATTAAAATTTGCAATTGTTCGTTGAATTTAGTGGAGAATATTAAAATGAGACACAATATTTTATTAGGAAAGGGTATTGTATGAAAAGTTCATAAATATGACACAAATGTTTTTTTTGGATTTTAATTAAACAATTTAATTTTAGCGTGGGCCATAGTTAATTTGCTAAAGCGCCGTTTAGTGATTTGACACTAAGAACCCAGGTGGTTGTTACGCATCCAAAAATTTGAGCACTGGCTGGTGCTGGCATTCAGAGCATATTTGTGACTAAAGCCAGACACTGCACCACATCTAGCCAAAATATGGTTTTTATTAAATAATACAATATAAAAATATAGGTACTAAATAGATATACCGTATACATACTGAGATAGACTTTTTTAATATTATTAATACACAATCTGTACCAGCGGTAAAAATTTGAGTGCAAGGTATATAAATATAAAAGAAAACTTGAACAACTTGATTAAAAAAGTAACCCATTGATGAAACTAATATTTTCAATATTAAATTAATTGTAAAAAGAGATTTACATATAGAATAATGAAAAATATTTTATAAGTTTGTTTAGTAAACATAATATTATATATATTGTAATATATTATTGATTAAATTGTGGAATAAGAAAAAAAATGATAATTTATAATGGGCCTGCGAATACCCGTTTCGACMTTGCCTCTTGGGTGCAGTCTCTTGCGGAAACCTTAATGCTTGCATCTGGTCAATGAAGGGAGTGGATGTCTGTACAAGAAGCATGCTCACTGCATACTGTGCATATTATTTAAGGGACAATGTATAATTTATATAGAAACCAAGGTAACTTAGGTGTCGTCATACATAAGGCTGAGGTTATACATTTAAATATTTTCTTAATGCAATGCAGTAGGCACAAAAATAAGGCGATGTATCATGTATATGCGCTAAGTAGGACGAAAACACGTTTCGTGTTGAATAGATGTATATCTTAGACTATGATCATGCAATCTCTATGCTGCACTTCTGTAGTTATTGTTTATAAATTTATAATATATGATTTATTTATATCAAAGCTTTCGTCCACGGCTATTATTGTGATACTGCCATGTTTTGTCCTTAAACTTGGAGATTTTTAAATTGTTGACGTATAATTCACAATACAAACATTCATATATACATCTTACATGATTATATTTGTATTTTATAATGTGTAATTTCTAAGAAAAACAATATAAGAAATCCATTTCTACTACAAATTTGCGTCTTATTAAGTGGGCCGAAACACCCGTTTTTGTTGTCTCAGTTTTACAATGCGTAAAAATGTTACGGTAACATAGCAAACTTACGCTTAGCAATTCATATTTTACTCTGTTAGCTTAAAAATGAGAGTGAATATTCCTATTATGAAACTTGATGGTTAGAACATTATCTGTGTTTTGTTGGAAGTATTTTTTACGATAATTCAGTTTTTAAATGAGTTCTGAGCATTTTTATTTTACAATTTATTATACGCGCATAACTCACTTAAAAATTGAATTATTGCAAAAAAATACTTACAAGTTACAACAAAACTTGCTATCAAGTTTCTAATTTGTAAGCTAAAAGCTTGTAAGACTGCGACCACAGATAATACGGGTGTTACGCCCACCTAATAGCGTTTGGGTATTCTAATCATCGAAACTTAAATGATATTATAATGTGTATACAATATGTCAATATATTATACTAGTAACAAGAACTTGTATATGTGTTGTTTATAGCCCTAGTATGAGCGATTAAGCGTTTACAATTCGTGTAGGCATATATTATATTATTTAATCAGAAAGAGGAAAAATAGAAAACAGAAAGTAGTAGGTACACTAAGTAAACTAAGTATGTAAAATAGTCGATAAACTATTTGGAATAGTAAGTGCTTAATGGCATTTAAATTTGTTCAGTATTATAATTTATAATATATACAGATGCTATTAAGGTAGTGAGGAAATAAAGTTTTATTAAAATAAATCACATTTATAGTCATATTAGTACTATCTAATTCCACAAACGATAGTTTTTAGTGCCACTAATTTCCCACTACGTATTAACTTATAGCTCACTGGTACTAATGACAGATTACAACAAATAATTAATTTCTTGAATATGTTTTTAATTGTACTGATACCTAATGGCACACAATCAAATTCCACATTTTGAAGGCAAATGCAGCATTTCAAAATTATTTTGTTATAACGTTGACGGTATTATAATAATATAATATAATATTATGTATCCCCGAGGTAACCGTCGTCGAAAGATTATGGACGGGATCGTTGGTGAGGAATAAAGGTGACTCGCGGATCGAAGGATTTGGTAATGATGTAGGAATGTAGGATGTAGCTGGTACATAATATAACTGGTGTAATCGTTAGGAACACACAACATTGTGTAGAGCGTCGGTGGACGGTACAACAAGTACCTACACAGTAGTCAACAAGCAATAATGGGTAACGTTTCTCGTCGGTACGATCTAGCGAATGGTGGGGCGCGCGCGTGGCCACCGATCGAACAGCGTGCCAGTGTGCTTATTTGGTTGCCGTCCGTTGCGGCGCGTACCTACATATTCGTTGCGAGGCCGTGCTGTCGCTTTTGCCGTCACCGCTGATGCTCTGGCGCTGTGCCGCTCGCGCCAAAACTGTGTCACTGGGTGGGTAGAGGCACATCGCCGTATAGTTATTGTTGTATCGGCGTGCGTCGGCCGGCTCGCGGGATCAGTGGGTCGTCCGCGGCGGTCCGTGGAACAGGCGCAGCACAGCTCCGGCCTATAGAGCGATCGGCGATTTTGTCGTCCGCGTGCGTGTCGTAGTCGTTATTATTACATTTTCCGTCGATTCAAATATACTGTCGTCGGTCCGGTTACGCGCGCGCGCCAGCGAATCTCCGTCGTTCGCCGAGCTCCGGCCAGCACCGGCACCGAGACACCGGCCGGGTTGAGTATTTGAACATGTTTAAGAAAGAAAAACCAATGATGTCCGTGTCGGCCATCATACAGAGCAGGGCGGCTCACCACTGGAGTAGAGGTAAAACACGGCCGCGGCGTCATTATAATAATCTAGAAATACGTTCGGTTAACCCGGTATTGATTTCTTCCTATAAAGAACACTGCTTTAGAATAAAATATATTTTTTTTGTGTGATGACGCCGGTTCAAAGTTCTTGTGATTCCGGCGTAAATATATGTAATCACCCGTTTTTATGTTTTTCCCATATTTCAAACTTGAAATTTTATAAATTATCATTGTAAAAATATATTATTTAAAGTGCGATGAAATACAAAAAACAATTTGATATTTTGTATCGACAAATTAAAAAAAATGTCCTGATGTACATTATACCGGTATGCTTATATATGACGATATAAACCAAGAGATTTCACGGGTGATATTATTTTGTGTGTTCCGGGTTAAACGAACGAATTTATAGAATAATATGTATTGCACAGTAGTTGTATAACGGTGGAACTGAGCCCCCCTTGTTATTGGTCCAAAGTGGGGAAAAGGGTCTACATATTAATCATTACCGCGCGTGTATGAGCAAGACGAGCATATTATATTCTAGCGTGGTACAAAATTATTCGACATAATGGTTCGTTATAACTTCGCACCAATAGGACAAAATAAATCGTCCTAACGTGATGACGCGTTTTCTCGTTTCCTCCCTACGACATCTCTCTTGTCGATTTCCGTTATGCCCACGAAATTTAATATCTTGATCGGGTTTTTTTTACCCTTAAGGCTGTCTTTTCCGACGTTCCACTCCCTCCCTGTTTGTAAAGTCCTCAAACGCTTTTAATTCGTAATTTTCTGTGAACTATACTGAACTACGTACATTTAAATATTGTTCGTCCGAAAATGATATATTAACACTAGAGTTTTAATTTTGGCAATGCTTTTTAATTATATTGTTTTTGAAATAAGTCTTGTAAAGGAAACCAAGTACTGAGTAATGAGTATATTTCGATTTTTATCGTTGCAGGCAATTCGTTATCGTTATAATTATAGGTATCTATATTATAGATTATCATTATTGATGGATTCAGTAATATGTTATCTAAAATGATAATCAATAATCATTCAACTCTATGTTTTGATTACTGTATTTATAATATTTTTGACAATTATAGTTATATCTTATATATAGTATATATATATTATATATGCATAGGTACAAATTTAGATGTTCAGGGTACTTTATTATATTTGGCAACGTTGCATGGAATTATTTAGAGTTCTCAATTTTAATTGACAAAAAATTCTTAAAAGGTATCTTATGATTATAGCTGTTCTCGTCGTTTGGTCGTCTATATGCAGGGACTAGGGTGACGGATATATATTCGCTTAGCTCATTGTAAGATAAATGATTATTTTGGTGAAAAGTAACTTTATTGGCCAACTAAATGTATACCTATGTCTATCAATTAATTAGAAAGCAACCTAATCGAAAAATATTGGTTTTATAGGTACTTAAAATGTTGTAGGCACAACCGTCTAATAATAATATCTGTTTTTTAAGCATATTATTTTGTAAAAAATAACTATATATCTGATAAGTGCAATATTATATAATTGTATTGTATTGTTGAGTCTTAAAAATTATTCTTATAGTTAGAACTTTCAGTATTATTGGAACTTTAATAATTCTTATTTTGTAGCCAAATACAAGTTTACACAGTTTAAATGGTTGAAATCAATACTTATAACAGTAGTAAAATACAGTGATAATAATAATWATTATTATAATATAGGTATTTGTGAGAGTTATTTTCTTCATCGTGTATGGTATATACAACTATACTAACAATACACTGTATACAATACGTATTTTTGTTCACTTGGGTCATCTAAATTGTAAAACTAGCGTGTAAGAATTTTAGATTGTTGTGCATTATATTTAATGTATAATTCAAAATTCAATGCATATTTTATTTATCATGAACTGTATCTAAGTATCGCTCAATAAGAAGCAGAATAGTAAATGTTACGAAACCTTTTCATTTGTTTAAACCACTGCTGCATATATTTAGATGAAACTATATTGTTTAAGATATAAATTTGATTTGATATTCATTTGGTACGGTATAAATACTCGTTTGCTCTGCGGTATTGGAATTAATGTCGTACAAAATAAAATCCTGACAATGTTTTATAAGCTCTTTTTTTAATCGTTTATCATGATCGTACTTATTTGATATGAACCATTGCTGCTGCTGTAGTGCTGTTGTATTCTAAAACTCTATATAACCACAAAATTATGTTAATTTTGTGACGGGAAAATCGAGTCGGCATGGCGCGCGTGTCAAATGCAGTTGTCGGTTTGGACGTATTATTTATTTTTATTCACATTTGAGTTTAACGCGTTCGTTTGAAAATCGTAGTAATAATATGATAAATAATAATAATATATTTTTTATATGTACGTAACCACTAACGTCTTGGGCACCGTGTCTCGAGGTTGTCAGAAAAAATTAATAGTAAAATCGATCATCGTCCATGTCGTCGTCAAAATACATGATGATTATAATATTTCACTGTTATTCGTTTTGGTTCGTTCTCGTTTAGGTATTTATGTACCTGCATTATTATTTATAATACCTATAATAAACTATTGAAAATTACAATAAATTGTCGTGTTTGTTCACGTGTGTTGTACGTACATCGGATCTTAATACAATATTATTTATATTATAGAATTATAATAATCGATACAATAATAATAATAATATGATGGACAAATAATGAAGATCATAGTATACATAATAATAATTTAATATCGTCGTCCGCAGTTGTCACATTAAATCGTTGCGATTCTTGTGCATGAGACGTATAATATCGTGAATGACGTACTCGTAATAATAATATTACGTATCGTGACGATGATAATAGTAATAAGTAATAATGATATCCGACGACAATGTTTGGTCGGGTCCGTTGTGGTCTTCTTCGGTGTGGTGGAAAAGAGTGGCGCGGGAACGAAGTGAAAAAATATGATTGACAACGATGACAACGATACGGTCGTTAGCTGCGGTGCGCGCGTTGCCGCCTCAAGGTCGACGTTGCCGTGCCACCCGTCCTCTCCGCCCCGCTGACCTACCGGGAGCTTCCTATTTCGCACCTCAAGGTCGTCATATCTCGCGCGGGACGCACGAGGCCTGCTGCAGTTAGTTTTACACATACGTGTTAGCGAGTGCAGCCGGGAAAACTCGCGGTGGTAGTCTCTCGGCACCCAACTTCTCTGGTAGGTACGGCGCGCGCGATGACGACATGACGGCACAGGCGCTCCGTGTACTTGAGTACATCGCGGTGTCGCAATATTATGAGCGCGCGCCCCACCGGTCCGAAGATATAACACAAAAAGTCATTATAAAATTATATGTTATTGGTATTATAAATTATAATGTTTCATAACACACCGTCAAAAGACCGCGTGCAGTTTGCGCGTGCGCGTTCCACCGGCATGCGCCGTTTTTGTGACGACTTGTACGGAATTTGGGCTTTTGAACGACGGACTTGTAAAATTTAATTTTGAAACGATCGAACGACGTGGGAAAAGGCCGCTCAATAATGACAGCGGGGATGATCGTAGACGATGTCGAATGCCGGTGGTCGGTCCTGGGGATGACATAGAATATAGAAACGATACAATTATATATATTTTTTTGTCACGGAAAGTTTAATTTTTGATGTCGGTTGGAGCGTTGCAAAATGACCTCCTTTCCATCGAGTGAACAATAAAATATGCTCTTTTCAGCTCAGAAAATGGAAAAGTTACTGTTCACATACTATTAATATACATCATGCACACGTATCAATCTGCTTTTACTAAAATATTAAATATTAAGTTTGACGATACCTTATAAGTGGGTAACTCCTATCATGGAATACAGATTGTTAAAAAAAACGTCAAAAACGACTAAACTTCAAAGGGTTTCTGTTTCGCTCCTGTTTTGTCAATATTTGTTTATTTGGTGTAAATAGGCGTTGACACATTTGTCTGACAAAAGCGGAACTTTCTGCTTAGAGTTTTCGGTCGGATTTTTCGTATCAAAGCTACATTCGACAACCGATAGGTACCTACAACGTGGTGCACGTACTGACGTACTGTATAATCGTGTTTCATCTGACTGTTTTCCGATGCATTTTATAAACGTTAATTTATTCTTAGTTGCTGTCGACACGAGCCCGTGTTATATTTTAAATTTTTACCGTATTGATATATACATTATGTTATATCGCCTTCCTCTATTCTTCCCCTTTGTTTTGTAATTTATTTTAGTCGTTTCGTACCATAAGTGATGTAACGTTGAGTGCTGACATGTAAATATTTAATACTTACGAATTACGAGTGGTTTTCCGTTCTCTGTTATTTCTTAATGTTTGTTTTTTTTTCATTTTACGAGTAAAGTGGCACTGTGGCAGTATAATTCGATCCTTGGCAAACACTTCAAATGTAATAGTCTATATTATTTTTTCTGCTTGAATATTTCTGTTTCAGTTAGCTTTTAAAATACCATCGTTGACATGACAATTTAATTGCCTAAAGTTTTTATTTTTTGATATTTTATTTTTACTCGTACAGATTGAATCATAAACGTCTATAGGTAGTTTATATCACCATAAAATATAATTTTAGAAACATTGTAGATATGCATTTTTACTTTTACACACATTTGTTTTTTACTTGCAATGCATATATATTTGGTATTATAAATATTAATRAACGATATTTTCAATAAATTGGAAATTTAATTTATTTAATAATTTTTTTGATATAATGTATAGATAAAATCATAATGCCGATCGTGCAGTGTTTTATTATGCTGGATGCTGGTATTAAAAATAATACATTACCCACTGATTTATAGTTTTTTTTGAATCACCTTTGCTACTTCAATCTTGTTTGTTTCGAATAAAATTTGTATATATTTTTGTGAAATATCAAGATATTATTCTAATATTGTCAAGCCTAACATGATTATATATAATATAATTTAATTTAATATAATTCGATAAAAAAAATACTCT